CTTTATTTTAATTAATATAATTAATTATATAAAGTTAAATATTCTATTTTATATAATATCTTTAAATTAGCTAGCTAAAAAGCTATTATAACTAAAAGACCTAAAAGAAGCTATAAAGTAAGGTAAGACTTTAATAACTAATTAAATTACCTTCTTAGCTGCCTTTTTAGGCCTAAACTTAGCTGGCTATAAAGAGTGGCTATAGAATATAATTATTAAAGCTAAATATATACTCGGCTTTCTCCTGCTTATATAAGGGTTAATAGGCCGGTTATAATTTAAGACTATAAATGTAAAGGGATATATATCTATAAATAGAGTTTTAAAATAAATATAAGGTAATAATAGGGTTAGACTAAAGGTATAAAGAAATGAAGTTAACTTTTATATAAGTTAATTAGTAAAAGCTAAATTAACTTAAAGTTAATAATAAATCTATTAATTAAATATATATACCTAGATATATAACTAATTAACCTTATATTTAAGAACTGCAGAAAGAGTAATATTAATAAAGAAGTAGTAGTTTAAACTAGAGATTTAATCTATAATAAGTTATTTAGCTTAAATATCTTTTAATTATAACTATTAATAATATTACTATATTATTATAATACTTAAAAAGACTTCTAAAAATATAACTTTAATAAGCTTTACTTAATAAAGAACTATAATATAATCTCTATAATTAAATAAACTTTTATAAAGGCTAATTAAAGTAATTATAATAAATTTTATAATTTAATTATTAAAATTAAATTCTATTAGAAGATTAAATATAATAGTAATTATATTAAGTTAGCCCTTTTTTACTATAAAATCTTTTAGTTTATATAGTTATATTTTAATAACCTTTAAATTAATATAAGCTTTTTTTATAATAAAATATAAAGCCTTTAGACTTTTAAATAAGCTTTTAATAAAAAGTAACTATAAAGAAGGTAAAAGGTATTTTTTAAGGCCTTTTATTTTAACTTATATAGTAAATAGCTTTAAGATATTAAAAAGTAATTAATAAAAATACTATTTATATTAAAGAAAATAAATAAAAAAGGGGTAATTATAAAGTTTAAATAGAAAATATATAAAGTTTTATCCTAGGTATATATAACTTCTATTACTCTATTATACAGCTTGCTATAGCCTTCTTTATTAATAGCTTAGTTAATCTTATCCTTTACGTTATAGCCTTCTTCTAAATAAGGCTCGTTAGGATTAGACTGCAGGCTTCTTCTAACAGGCATTATAATAGGGCAGCTGCGGTGTTATTAGCGATTGCGATTAGAAGGTATATAGGGAAGTCAGGTTGGATGACTTACTGCATGTTAGACGATTAAAGCGTGATATATTATAGGGGTTAATATAAGACCTTTAAAGTAGGGTTCTAAGTGTTACAACCCTAGCGTTTACATTATATATATACAAGGGACCTATAAAATTCACCTAATAAAAACGCAACCGCCTAAACTAACTATTAAAAGGTATATTTAATAACAGACTAATCTAATATAGGACTAATTAATATTAGATTAATAGCAATCTAGAAGTATATTACACTAAAACCGATAATAACCTTACTTATAGTTAGCCCTACTAAAGGATACTTTAGTATATAGAATATATTTATTTATACTTTTATAGATTTTAGCTTATTAGTTATTAATAAAACTTCTTTATATTAATTAAGCCTAATATATATTAAATCTACTATTAAGAGATATAACACTTTAACTGCTTAGCATTATGCCCTATACAATCTGCCAATAATAAACCTAGCACGGCTTAGTTTATCTACAGTTAGGAACCAACCGTTATAATAAGAGAAAGATTTTAGCCAGCTAAAAAATAAGGCTTTTTAGCTAAATTAAGTATATTTAGGTTTAAGCTATAATTAAGGCAGCTAACTTAATAATATTAACTTAATAAAGCTTTACTACTTAAAAGGTAAAAAATATTTAAAGTATAATAGACTTTAGAGATATTTAAATACCTTTTAAGGCTATTATATAAACTTAAAAAAAAATATAAAGTTTTATTTAAATTTAAATTAATTATTAAAAGTTAATAACTATTAATAAAAAAAAAGAAAATATATTATATTATATAATATATAATGAATTTATAATTATAAAAGCTAATTAAATATTAATATATTATTAATATAAGTAAAAGTCTTTAATTATATATTATACTTTATATTATTAATTACCCTATAATAGTTAAGGTCTTAGTGCTTAGATATAAGGTATTTATATAGTGGTTAGCACGCTAAACTTATATAGCAGGTATCTGTTTATCTCTGTCCTCCTAAGCCACGGATTCAACCGAGTCGAGGACAGGCGACTCCGCTTTACACCGCGCGTGGAGGGCGAGCATTTGCGGCGTGGCTTAGAGCGTTGTTCGGCTTCCAAGAGGGATTCGTACAGCTTCGAGTACGGAATCGAGATGCAGGGGTTCGGGTACCCATCGCAATCTGGATCAGGGATAAAGTCGTGAAGATCGAGGACAAGTTCGTAGTCCTGATTGATCGGGGTTCCGTCAGCTGTTCGGAAAGGCTAGAACTGTCAGTTGATCGATCCTATTGATGGACAAATATGGACATACTTGTGACTTGACCACCTGCTCTATCTCCATCGTGACCTCATCGCTGCCTGCTTCTCGGTAGAATACAGGCTTCCACACTGAAACGGTGGACTCCTTCGACTTTGCGATGGTAAAACAAAGAACTGCCTTAATGTCTCCCCAGGAATGATGGATATACCCTTTGGCGAGCTTGGGGAGTTGCTTTGGGTCCTGGCTGTATGCAACTTCAAAGACAACATTTGGCAGCTCGGCATCGGCGAAGAGAAACTGTCCATCGGGGGAGCGCTTCAAAGGGACGTGGTCATTGCTTTTCTCATGGCTATCAGAGACGTAGATGTCGATGTCGGAGGTTGCGCCTTTGACAATCTTGCTTGTCATGGGATGGACGGCCTCATCATTACGGCCGAGCTCGGACAATGCGTCGAATATGACGTCGGATATGAACTGAGAGAAAATATCATGAGTTCTTGAAGGCATACGGATGGTAATACGCTCGTGCCAGGGTTCGTAGTCGAATCTGCGGAACGTTGATTCGAGCTCGGGAAGAAGGCGGATGAAGTCCTCACCACTGAGGGGAAGGCTCGCGAGCTTGTCAATGTCACCTCTCATCTGCCACTCAACTCTGACGTCGGCGAGCCGTTGAGGTAGCTCGTCAGCACCCGGGGAGACTCGTCTGCGCTCGCTGGAGGACGGTGGCGATGGCAGCTGGGAAGACTTGCGCTCGGTCGGGGTGACCTTTCGCTGGGGCTTGACGGGGTGCGAAAGAGGAGGGTCAGGTAAGTCGGGTGGGGGTGAGTGTTGGTGCGGAACCTCCATGCTTGGAGCACGCGCGCGCGCCGGTGCTCGGTTTTTGTTGGTGCTGATGCTGATGCTGATGTTTTGTTTTGGATTGAATGACGATGATGGAGCAGCTGAGAAGTGGGGGACCTGAAATCGCTTATCTTATCAGCGGGACGACCACTGGCAAACGCGGCAGCGCCACAGCGCCACAACGCTAGCCACAACCAAAAGCTCATCATAACTCATCAAATCTTATCAAACCTCATCAAACCTCATCAAGCCTGACCAAAACTCATTAAAACTCATCACAGCCTACCTAATCTTAGTAGAGTTTTTATGATATCGTCATAAGCCTTAGAAAACTCGGAAACAATTACCCTTTTTCGCTGATAATTGTTCAGATCACGTAGTGCCAAGATAGTCGCAGAAGTACCCATGGTTCCTGTTGGGATGAGAACAGCCAGCTGTCGGATATGCGGCTTTGGTCATGAAAATCCAGGTATGTGGCCTGTCTGGCTTCGATGTCTTCCTTGGTAGTAAACAGGAGCAGGATGAGTCCATATCTCTACTTGAAGATTCTTGACGTCTGGATATCTGACGTCAAGGTTGCCACCGGCTGGGACAGGGTTACCTTTTCCACATTAACTGACAATGCCCTTATAATACAATCTTTAAGAACATTGTTCTTATTCTTTACTCCTTTGACGCTGTAGCTCTCCTTTACTGTTTTGTCTGGTATGCTCCTTGACGTGCTACCTTGCTCGCTATAAGAAAGTCCTATCACTCATGGGATTTAGCTCAGCTTTTACATTACTATTATAAAGGAAAAGAACAGAAATAAACATAAATGGGCAACAATACTTGCCCTCCTATCTGCCCGATTAGAAAGCTACAGGTCGAACTCATTGAGGACTAGGGAGGGCACAGAGGATATTGCCCATATATGTGGATTTATATTCCTTACCTTTATGCCAGATTTAAGACCTGCTATAGTCCCTGGAATATGCCACAGCTTTAACATGAGCCACGCTGCGGTATGTAAATAGTCGTATCGTGCTTCTGGGTAAGACTCTCTCCTGTCCCTGCTCCTGATGTTTGGGAATAGACAAGGGTACGGCGCATAACCTGATAGTACTTTTCTTTCCGAATAAGCGCCCCTTCATCCATATCTAAGGCAGGTGAGAGAACAGATCTAACTCTTTCACCCCTTGTATCCAGCTTCGGGTCGCCTTGGAGAACCCTAGACAACGTTTGTGTCACGATGCCACTACCACCACTTCGGAGATGGTTGATCCACTACCACCATGTATACCAGGCTCTTTAGGAGATGTTGCTGGGACAGTCATCACTGTGGTCCAGGATCAGTCGCTAAGATCTTCGTTACCACTCTTATCCCTGCGAGCGTGGTTCCATCTCTCGGAAGTGATAGAAGTTCTCCCCGCCCAAGGCTTCAACAGATAATTGAGGGAGACTAGCCGTAAGAGACTAGCCTTTCTCATGCGACTCAGCCGCTTCCGCCACATCTTTATTGAACTTGTCGAAAGAGATCGATAAAGACACCTGCGTTTGTACTGCCATAGGAGGCAGTACTAGGTTTGGATTGGCAGCGACGACAATTATATTCTGAGTGACCCATCTCGATGCTTTTGTCAGTAACAAGATATCTCCTTCGGCATCAAGGCGATGCCTCATAGCCTTGTACTCTTGTGTGATTCTGAATGACCACAGTCGCATCATATTGAAAGCGAATATAGTACTTGATAAGCATCTGGATGCTCGGTTTGTCGTGGTTCTCGTGCTCTAAGTTGGATTGGCGATGAATAATCTTGAGCTGAATGCCCAGGACGCTGTGAGTCAGTAGATTGTACTCCTGGTGTTGTAGAAGTTAATGGTGCCGTATATAAAAGCGAACTCTGGCATGTAGTCCCTATCGAACTTGGCGAGATTGCACTTGTCGGACTCGCGCCGTGCGCATCCAAGGCATACCTTTTGCGTCTGTTTTCTAGGCGGCTCATACAGGGCAAATTACACATGGCTAAAATAAGTCGATTCTAAAGACGTAGCGAGAGGTTCCAGTAGCTCAATCCGGTGCGAATGGTTTCTTTTTATCGGTCCACTGGATATAAAACTATATGGCTGGCATATCGCTGCATCATTCATGAAGCAATACATGCCGTCGAGTTGTCGAATGCCGTTGGAGGAAGGCCTTGAAAGAATTGACGGAAAATCTGAATTGGATGAAGCCGACATTCCATTTCTCCAGATTCTCTCATGAGTATCTGTCATTGAAGAGTCAGGATTACTGATAGGTCTGTACCTCTTGAGAGCCCCACAAGGTTTGGTCTATGGCGATATTGCCGCGCGAGGACTTGAGATGACTCGGCCACCCGTGATATAAAATCTCATGAAGACTTCCTGATCAAGGTGGCGCAAGAAAGTCATATTTTCGTGCTGGCTTTAGGGTGGTACTTTCGCAAGATGCAATAAGCATCCGTGCTTGGCCGCTGGAGTTCTAACTAATAACTGTATTGAGGCCACCTGGCAGATCTGGCAAGATATTATTCTTAATGGCCATTTAAGTAAAGACAGTTTATTGAAAAGTCAAAATGTCCCTATAGCAATATGCAAGATATAGCCAATTCGGGTCTTAGATAAGATAATATAATAAGATACTTATTTTTTAGTATAATATAATATAAGGTATTATATATTATACTAAAAAATATAATAACCTTAATAATAAATCTTAAGGTTATATAGCTACTATTATAAACCTTATAATTTAATTAAATAAATAGCTTTAATATATAAGTATAAAAAAGATATTTTTTCTAGCCTTAATAGGCTAAATGCCTTTTTTATTATTATCTCTTTAAGGTAATAACTATTAAGGATTTAACCTTAAAGAATTAAGTTATAATAACTAAAAAATTAAAAATTCTATTATAAAATATATTATTATATAGATAATATTAATAATAGCTAATCTAGCTATAACTTATTATAACCCTTATAGTTATATTATATATACCTTATAAAATTCTTTACTATCCTTATTAATTATAACTAGAAAAAATAAATCCTTTTTAGTCTATTAACTATAACTAGTTATAATAGGATTAATATATTATAATATTAATTTAAAACTAAAGGATTAATATTATAGTCCTTAATAAAAGTATTATTAAATATCCTTATTATAATAATATGTAGTTTATATTTATTTATATTTCTATAGATTAGCTTATTAATTATTAATAAAACTTCTTTATATTAATTAAGCTTAATATATATTAGATCTATTATTAAGAGATATAATACTTTAATAACTACTTAATATTATACTTTATATAATCTGCTAATAATAAACCTAATATAGCTTAGTTTATTTACTATTAGGAATTAACTATTATATAACTATTTAAATATAATAATTAATCACTATGTAATTAGTTTTTTAATTAATATTAATAATTTTATTATTAAAGATATCTTAAATTTATATACTTTAATTTAATAATAGAAAATTATAAGTAAATAACTACTATATATTAATAGATTACTATTAATATAGTAAGTTAATTTTATAATCTTTAAGTATTAAGTAAGGCTTTATAATATACCTAAAAATATATCTATTATCCTTTATATTAAAAGGCAGATATATAACTTAAAAGATTTTATTAATTACCTAAAATAGGATTAAAATTTATTAATAAAGTAATAGGCCTTTATTATTAGAATTATATTAAGTAGTAATAATAGTCTATATTAAAAGTAGTTTATAGAGTTAAAATATATAGTTATAGTAATTAAATTAACAGTATAAATATTATATTATAGGAATTAAAGTCTATTATAAAATAAAGGAAGGAAAGTAAAAGAGAAAAAAGAGAAAAATAGGTAAATTAAAAAATAAAGGTTTTAATATTAAAGAAAAAACTGTAAATACTAGTAAATTAAAGCTAGTTTAGTAAGTTAATAATAAATTAAATTAGGTTATAAGATAATATAATATAAGGAATATAAGTTAAAGAAAAATATAGATAAGTAATACTTAGGAAAGACAGTTTATACTTATTGCAGACTTGTTGTTAGATCTTAGATAAGAACTACCGTCTATAGCTTAGAGCGTCTTGTCAAATGGGAGTTGTCATTCGAGATGAATACCGATATGGAAAAGGGATAATGGAATTAGTAAGTCTACTGCTTCTCTTCGTACACTAAGGGAATCGGCTCTCCTGAGAGAGAGAATTGGCTCTCAATGTACGGATCTCAACCACTAGCGCCACCTCGCAAGATTCTGAATCGTATCAGTTTCTGGGATCAAGATCTGTGGGAGAAGAGTTCACTGTCACGCTCTTCTTTGGAAGGCTCCTGCCGGGCTTTTCGACGTGCTCTTTGTCTATGAAAATGGATAATAACTTCGCGATAACTGTCAGGCATTATCGGGGACACCTGACATGCCTTTCACTGAATGACTAGGATATTGACTTTGGGGATGAGCGTTGTAAGGGATAGGAGACAGAACTAGACCGTCTGTCAACTGAAATATCGTCTCCTAATTGATGATTGTGTCTCTGAACCTGGTAAAGATATTGTTATTATAGAGTCAGTGGAGTGTCCGTCATAGACATGACCTGGTATTCTTCTCAGCTTCCCTGTCTCTTCCTTGCTCTCGAATTCGCCGGCTTGGTGTTCATACCGACGAGAATTGGAACCTCATGACGAGCAGGTACGGTGGAATCTGATTGTCGTTATTGCATAATGAGGAAACTAAAAATCATTCTTGTTCTGCGTGTTGAATTACTAAAGCGTTCTTCATTTGTAAGGAAAGATATCCGGTTATTACATCATTGGGGTAAAGATCTGGTGACCCAACCAGATGTAGCGCGTATTAAGCCACTTTATGAAGAACTCTTCTGCTATGTAGGTCGGGTTGGGCTGTATCTGTCGTCAACATCAGATCTTTTCGCCGTTGACCAGATGATTGGAAACTGGGAAATGATTTTCGATATGGCGGGACTATCCACGACCAGATGTCTCTGGTCAGTGGTCGGATGTAGGCAGTCTCTCCTATTCATTGGCGGTCTCGGCTTCCAGGTTGATGATGCGAGACGAGAGACTAACTCAATTGTGCTGTTAATGACTTTCCCGTTGGAAGAATTCGTCGCCTGAGGTAAGGGTTTTCGTCAATCTTTTGATCCAAAAAAGGCATTACAAACCCCCTCCTCAGACTTCACGTGGATATGTAAGTATCCTCCTTGGCCAAGGGATGAGGGGAAGTTGTTTGTACCAACGACAACGAATGGTTATAGTAACTTAGCCACACGAAGCTGTGCACTATCGAGGTGTATGATCTCCTTAGTTGTCAGGGTCACTATCCCTCTGTCCCAATATGATAGCGGCACTTCCCCATCGTTTACCTTGGAATAAGCGAAAAGCCCCAACGATAGGCCTGATGCATCGGAGATGGAGGGCTTTTGGTATTTTTGGTGCTAGTCCGCTTACTGCTGGGACGACTACAAGGTGCAGCATGTCTCCATAGTTACCACAGCTCCTGTCTCGTCATCGCTGCTTCAGGATAAGATTGGAGCTTGAAACAAGGGGGGTCAGTTCGGGGCGGAATCTGTAGCGACATGGAAAGGCACTTGGTGAGAATACGCGAAGGCCAGTGATGTGCGGACGGATAACTGAGAATTTAGTTCAATATCCTAGGCGAGACAATGTGTCTAATAATAGCAAACGCCACAGTTGACATTACCGTGACAGTGCGACTGTTTGATCCGTCAAGTGCCCTCAATCTTGGACGCCAGTTTGAAGGGATGACCGGATGGCGTGAGAGTGAAGCACACCGTCTTGACGTGAGAACCCATTAGCGTTATGTAATCGTGTCAGCATGGCCAGGGATGATTCCTACTGTTGATAGAAAGGGCTGCAAGTATTGAAAAATGATATTAGATCTTCTAGCATTCTCACATTTCCCGGAGACTGAAACTGGCTGAATAGGCTAATTCCTTAAGTAACCCTATCAGTACATTATAGTCTATAAGATTGCCAGTATAAGTAGTTATTGTAGTATAGCTCTTAGATAGACTAAGAGCTTAATACTTAGGTATAAGTTTAATTAAATTATAAATCTACTAAAAAGAATTAAAAAGGCTAAGCTTATAATTATTTAAAATTATACTAAAAGAAAGATATATATAATATAAAAGAAAACTAAACTAAATAAAATATAGGTATAAAAGGTAGAGAATAATATAATATAAGAGATAACTAAGCCAGATAAAATGTAAATATAATTCCAATTTTCAACAGGAGGTGTATTCCTTGCAGTTGACTCTGGCTGAGACCTAAAGCCAACGACGTGCTCTGCAGACGTGGTGGATTGTTTGGGATGCGGCAGCGGCTCCTTGAGAAGTCCATCGACGTGCTCTACAGCCGTGGTGGGTTGCTCGGGATGCGGCAGTATCTCGATGTCGGACTGGGTAGAAAGGCTCGAGACATCATTCTCCAGGCTGGGTTTACGGTTGAGAAGTCCAACTCTGCTCCTCACCGGCCTTATCCCCACGCGGCCCGTTTGAAACTCCAAGGGTGTAAGCAGGACACATTGATTGACATGCTCATGCTTTGAGTTGCTAAATCGGGTGCGGCACCTCCAAAGATCCCTAAGAAATCGGTTTGGATGGGGAGTCTTTGCCATTTCAGGGTAAGGCAGAGTGACTATGAACTCTGGTTTCAAAACATTACAAACAGCTACAGCCCAGTTGTCATAATACTGCAGATTATGATGTGTCGGGTCGTTTCGGTACTGATGTGGCGCCACTGCTATTACCTGTAGTGGTGTAGGAATTAGAATATTCTCAAAACAGCCTCTATAGGAATGAGTTGTTGGCTGCACTGTACGCTAGAACAGAGTTAGATAAGAAAAACTATAAGGTAAGTAACCTACCTCATATATAGTGCCAAGGATCGGTCGCTCAAAAATCTCATCACGTTCCATATGGTATGGCGGATACAGCGAGACACGGCCAACATAATCAATCGACTGATCTGTTTCGAACAGGATCCCCAAATTCCTGAAGAGCATAAGGATATTAGGATCAACCCCAATCCACCTAGGAGGTCCCTCGATGATAACAACAATATTCTGCCAAGGTGATGCAACCTGCTGAGCGAGTGCCGCAACATGAATGGAAATAAAATTCCATTGCGTTTCGAATTCACTAGGAGAAGTGAAACCATCTACTGGGATATAGAATGCGATCTTGATCTGTCTGGGTGGTTGGAAGCGGCTAGGCCGAAGAATGTCCTGAAAAGCGAATTCACGTCCCGGGAACGTCAATGCCGTGAAATGGGTCGTGGAAGATTCAAGGGAGACCTCGTCAGCGAAAGGGTCTGGTATATCCTCTGACGCACTCCAGTAAAAACTCAGACTAAAGGCATCAAATAATTCTGGAGGTACTGTAGACGGGGATGGGGGACGAAAAAGACCAAAGGCGGCATCAAAGGAATCTAAAGGTACTTTAGACAGGGAAGAGGGACGTTGCTCTGCCATGACTGCTGCTCGGCGCCGTCGTCTTAAGCAGATGTCGCGCCACTCTCCCTCTATCCCCTTATAGTAGGTCTCCACGTTTTTGATGCACTCCCACACCGAAAGTCCGTCCTCTTCGGCTACTTGATACTCTGAATGATTGTTGTAGACGTTAAAATGCGCTGACTCAGAAATTGAAAGCTGTGCAGAGCCAATACTTTCTTCGTCTTCCATAATAGGAGATGGGACCCATGTACTAGAACTTTTCCAATCGATAGATGCTCCATCTAAGTCGTTCTCAGTGTATGTCGTCATATCTTCTAGAAATTTCTGCAGGATATAGTCATCTCGATTTGATAGCTGTGCCTGGAGTTGGCTGATCTCTTGCAAAATTTGAGCCGTACCATCCTTTATAGCTGATGTATCATTCCGGATCTCTGTTGTGTCTGTTCTTATTGCTTTAGCCGTATGCCTAGAAAAGTCAGCCTGGGAGGTTAAGTATCCTAGGCATAGATAGGCCTTACAGCGCAAGCATATCAAGAGCCAATTCCAGTGCCGCCTTATGAGCCTCTAAATTTGACCGCAATTTCGCAACGTCTCCCTGGCCACTGATAGTCCAGCTGGCCTTTGTCTTTAGTCGATTGTTGCCGTATTTCGTAACACAGCCTTGCAACTCGGTGACGACTAAATGACAGTTGGCCAAAATATTTGAAACATGGTATGCAAGAGTGTTAGGAAATGTCTTATCCTCGTCAATTGCATCTTTAATGAGCTCAAGGACTGTCTGTAGGGAGAGGAGCTCTCTTACTACTCGATCTAGGTCATTACGAGCTTCGCGACAGGTACGCACGAAGCTATTAATGGATAAAGAAAGCGTGCCGATAGTCGAAATTAGACCTACGCAGCCTGTGGTTATTGACAAAGGATCCATGTTTGATACGAGATGTTTATTGTTATCTTACCCAAAGCTGTGAAGTTCTTAAATGAGGGGTATTGGCGTTGGCTTTCAGCTGACAAGGTTGCCACGACGCCTGATTGGCTGCAGGCTTTAGGGCATCCTTTCCGGCACCTCTGGGAATAAGGCATGATTATATAAGCCTGAAAAAGCGGTTGTTTGGTTAAAAAAACCGAACTCTTTTCAGAGGCTAGGCACAATTTAGCCAGCATAAGGAGATTTTGATCTATATGTTTTACATTTATATCTTTAAACATTTAAGTTTAATATAAATACTACTGCAACTACTAGACTCACTATATCTGTCTGTCGACATTACGCAAAGGTGGCGTGATAACGCCTGGCGGGTCATTAAAGAGTCGTGAGATGGGAACCAGAACCCAAGTATCCTGTCCGCGCTATACATGTAGGACATGGAGCTCTTCATATTCACCCTGGCCAGACTTAGTGGTGCGAGCCGGTCAATAATATCACAGAGGTCATCAATTGATTGCATCAACCTTGCGTGAAACGACTTATATACCAATAGTCCCTAACTTGGTGTGTTCACAGAAGCAGTCTGCCTTATTGAAACAAAGTGCCGCATCTACCTGATGGTTTCTGGAGACGTGAGAAGCTGGACTACCTCTTTGCCCAAGGCAATCGTTAGTGCATGGGGTGGCTATGGGGATGACTGCACCACTATCGGCCAAGACAAATTGTGTAGCTACATTGCAACGCTAGTGATTATATTAATTCTTACTTATGGATGATAATTCACTAGACAGAGCGTGTTCACTACTGAGATATCTTCAAGCATCTTCTCATGTAGTGTAGTAGAAGTAAATCAAAGCCTTCATATTTACTGATCAGGCAACGCCCTAAAACAAGATGATCTTATCGTCAAGCCATCCATCTCTCTATTTCTCTCCCACCTAGCAATATGTACACAACATCTAGCCTTCACTACCCAAGCCTCACAAATATACCCCTTCCCAAAGGAGAAAGTCGCTCGTTCATCCACCCGGCCACCATCTCCGGGTCCAGAAGCTGCTCCTTTAGCTGAGCCACCGCGGCATCGACGTGACGAAGTTCAAATACTCGCCCTCCCATCCGAGCGGTAGTCGACCTGCAGGAAGGTTGGCGAGATCTGGTAAGGACGCTTCGCAGGGCCTTGGACTCGATAGAATTCTGTGACAAAAAGTTCCATGGGGATTCATCATTTGGCTGGCAGATGATGATGGCGAAGATGTGGTCGCAGCCTGCTACGAGGCAATTATGGGGGGTGCCTATCCCTGTACATTAGTCAGTAAACTTGTTCTGAGTAGAAGATGAGGGGGACTTGCTATGGAAGTCATATCCAGCGTGTAAAACTTGAGGTTGAGGCTGGAACGAGAATGGGGGAGCGACATCCTCGTCCATCTCATTGCTTCGCAGCATTGCCTTGATCGCAGCAAAAGGCTTTTGTGGAAGGCAAATCAGATTGTATGCATGCTGAAGGTTGCTGAGCTGTATTTGAACTTCGGTGGATATAGATACATTTGTCCTTGGTAGAAGCGCCAGGAGTTCTGGCCTCGATAGTGCCTAACCATCGAGACCGTTGAGTTCCGCTGGGCTTTGTTCCCCATAGCCTTCTGCTCGGTGATCAAGAGAGGATGGACCGGCAGGGTGAATCTCTGAGGCGTTGGAGCGCTGCATCGTGATGGCTAGGAGTGTGGATGCGGTCGTAGAGAAGAGTGGGAGTTGATGGAAAAGCTAAGTCGGGGAGAGTGAGAGGGAGAAATCATGGTTGAATATCTGGCGCTGTTCAAATGAAATGGCGGTGAGTCTACCATTTTTGGCTTTTTCATCCAGATCAAGGTGAGGCAGCAGACATGACGCATCCCCCGGGTTGTCACAGATGGAGACTTCCGCGACCTATCAGAAAGCAGTGCCTGGCATGTGTCAGTGTCTGGTTGAGGACGCTACCCCACCACATGTAACGACAGGGATCGTTTATAAGACTGAGATTTTGGTGCCCTATCGGTTCTGACTTCGACCTCTCCGTCTGTCTCCCCACACTTGTCCCGCATACTAAGGCTGAATAGGGCTGATAGCTTCGATCAACCTGCGAGAGTGTCAATGAGCGAAGTTGCTGCATTCATTAGGGTGTTAATTGAAGAGCCAGACCAGCTGCGAGATGTAGAATGTCCATGTGAAATTTGACCTAGCGGCCATTCAGAAAACACCAACAATACATATGGGTACGACTTGATTCCATGAATTGATACGATGCAAGCGACGACAAGAGATGTACTTGGTGCGACATGCGAAAACTTAGATGTGTCGACTTTCTGTTTTGCAAGAATCTGCTGTGACGACCATGATGGTGTTGTTTTGCTTGAAGTCAAGGCACTAACATGTTACCTCGCATAACACGGTGTTGTACCAGTGCAGACTTTCGTTGACAGCAAATCCATCGTCAATTGAGGGAGAGCTCTTGTTTTCATCAATTGAAGGTGGCGGTCGGATCGGCTACAGTCAGCCACCTAAATGGCCATTAGGTTTGATCTGATGAATCAAAGAGTGCGAGCTGTGAGTCTGGAGTTCTGCGTCCCAACGTGGTCCTACAATCAAAGCCGAAAATAGATCCCACAATCCAAAAGTTGTCGTATCTGAGACGGATATTTAGATTCGTAAATAGATTTTTACTTTGAAGCTCAAAATGCCCTGGACTTCTGTTACGACTTGGTGTGTGGATTAATGCAGGCATGAGGTGTGGCTGGATTGCTCCGACGACGCGACGCGACGGGCTGGTTGTTGATCAGAGGTGGCACCAGGAGCGAAAGCACAAAGACCAGCACGTGAGAAGACTACCGCCCCTGCAGTAAGAGGGTGCAGACGCGCAATTGTGGAATTGGAATACCTATTAGACAGCGTTTCTAGAGTACCAGTCTTACAAATTTGTTATCCCAACCTGACTATGATGTCAAGCAAGTAACCACGGTCGGCTTGGACTCACTAGCTCAGCTGAGTCACCTACCTCATGTGAGTATTTATCTCCAATGGATAATGCACTGAAAAGTGTTTTGTTATTTTGATGCATGTATTTTGACATGTCTACCCTTACCCGAACTCGTTTCATATCGTCGTTCGTCCGCTCAGACGCCATCAACTAAGATCAACCAAACAACCATCCACCAAACTCCATCCCGCGCTATTGAGTCCTCGAATCACTTCATCTCTCAATCATCTCCCAGCTTCCAGTCCCATTATCACCTATATCAAGTTGCTGTGCCTCAACCAGTCGATCAAGAGCACGCATGTGCGCCTCTGCACACTTAATCCTCTTCTCAGCCTTCTTGCGCTCAAGCGAAACCTTCTTCATAGCCGCAACAGTTTGTGATTCCTCCTCGGTTGGAGCATTGCTAATGCCAAAGCCGAAAAGAGCGAGGAATAGGGCGACGAGGGCGACGAGGGCGTTGACTATGGTTCTCATGGCTGAAGGTTGATCTTCATCCTGGGGAATGGCAACTTCCTCATGCTGGAGTTCTTGCAGAGTGGCATCGGCGGTTTTGATGTCTTGTGTCGCTTCCTCGATTTCCAAGAGACTGTACAGTCGGAGTTGGCGAATTTGGTCGCTGCTGAGATTGACGAGGATGTTGCGCGCTGCGAGCCGGGATATTGGGCCCTCATCCCTGGTGGATCGCTACTCCTCCAAGGTGGGGAACTTGAGTTGTCGAGGTGGCATTGTGGCAGTAGTAGTCTCAGAATTTAGCCTGTCTTTGAATTTTTGAATGCGCTTTGTCTTTTTGGTAGAAAGTCAAGGTGGAGTTGAAGTAACATCAAAGTTGGCTTCATTGTTTCTTGTTGCGTGTTTGCAAAGGTCGCAGTCGAGGTTTAGAGGATGACATAAGCGGGGAGGGAGTTGGGAGAAGCCAATCAAATACTTGATCTGCGCACCATGTGGAGCCGCGATTGGGATCGCGGGAGTTTAACAGCTATTGTTGGCAGTGCGAGCCTAGAAAGGCCATGGCTTCGGCAAAACATGCCGCTAATTTCTGATCTATAGACGGCATTGAACTGCCTTGCAATCAGGGGCATCTACGAAAGGAGAAACATATGAGATCCATGGTTGCATTTTATGAGGAGTGAGTCGCTGTGTTTTGCGCGATGCATTAGATATCAAGACATGCAAAGCTCAACTAAATCATCATTTAAATTGAACAGACCTTTGTGTCGGCTCTTGCAAGCTGCTAACGTCGAGGTAAGTTTTGGAACGACCTGTGGCCGGCACGGTTGTGGCGGACATGCTTGGTGGGCTTTTAGAAAAGTCAGACGGGCCGAAATGGACATAGACAGAGGCTACATCGCTTCCCAGACTGCACGTGATATTTAAAAGAAGCTGTGGAGTGTGCCACTTGTCACGTCGCTGTCACTGAAGTTTTACGGGACCGGGCTTGGGTAGAGAGTCCCACAAGGATGGCCAAGCGGAACTACGCCGATGGCTTATTGAGGAAGCCAGCAAAAGACGGAGTAAAAGGCCGACGATGGCGAATAAAATTTTGACAGACACGAATGAGAGGCCACGAATTTAAACCTGAGAGACGGTAAAAGATGAATGCTTTAAGAAAACATAGAAATCTGTAATGTGGAAAGCAAGTGGAAGCTAAAAAAAAGAGACAAGTCCAGAGAATTAATCAGGAGAATTGACGGCTTGATGAATTTTGTGTTTATTTGGCGGGCAATATTACTCAATGCCTTATTTAGTAAGAGAAATCAGTTCAGAGAAAGCTGAATGTTGGAACGAATCAAGGTCGTGAGTAAAAGAGTAGATGCAACTTTATACTGAGGGCAGTACGTCAAATGTTACCATCTCAATGTCATTGCCCGCAAAAGCTGGATATGCTAAAGAAAGATGGCCGTTTCTGAAACCTTACATAGCTATAATGAGTATTGTTGCTAATTACTCTAGAGGTTGCAAAAGAATAAAGGCGCTATAGTTTGTCGGAAGAGCAAGTAGCTTATCGCAGGAGTACCTGAAACAGTGAGGGCGCTACCGCAGGGGGAAGCAATTGCTCACGGGAGCAGAGGAGGTATAGGGCTGTATTGCTGAAAGGCGCTATAATTTTCCGCGGGAGCAAGTAATGACCCCAGGAGCTGTTCATGCTTACAGCGCTACCCCTGGTCCATACCTAAGTGTAACCGCCGCGGGGAATCAAAGGTCCAGAGCCTTGCAGTCAGCGCCGCAACCATTTTGTCTCTGCTAGTTCAACAGGCCAGCTTAAACATAGCAATCACCGGCTCCGAGACTCACGACCTGTCGATGGTCTGTTTACGATAACCCCCAGTCATATAAAACTGCGATTTCATGACATTAAGCCCTGATGCAGCCACGTACACGACGCGACGCGACAACTTCACCGCGATGCGGCCGACCAATCCTACTCAACGAGAATAGACGTTGCGACATGAAGCAGAGCAGCAGCATTGATACGCCGCATTTGTTTTCGATACTTCAAGCAAACCCCTCAATAGCGACAGGTCGACTCGGACATAGCCACGAACTGATGCAACATAAGGCTTTGGGGTTCTGTATCTGGGATGCTTCGCTTGGGTTACAGTTGGTCTAAGACAATGCATGATCTCCCATAGTACTCACGTTACTGAGCGATGAAGTACTGGGCCGACTGGGACAAGGGCATGATGAGCTGCCAGCAGAGTATCGGTACGTCCAAGGTCACTCATATACTCAGAACTACTTGGTGCTCTCTCCATTCGCCAAACACGAGTACAATTACGTTGCCCGCCGAAAGGGTGTGTCGATTCCTCCCACTACAGCCGCACTCCGACACGCCGCTGGTACCGACGATTTCCACTGCGCAAAAGCATCTGGGTCGTGGGCCTTTAGTTGTAAAGACCGCGAACCCGCTACTGCTTCGGAAAGGAGGCTTATAACTGACCGACGTCCAAGAGCAGCGATATCATCATCTCTGGGTCGCCGCCTTGCCACACCTCCTCCCCTAGGGAATCATTGGCTACTTAGTCAGGCTAGTGACTGTTAAGGCATCACCAGTTCCTTGGCGGTCGTCATGAGCGACCGGAGAGATTTCAGCACTGCCTGTTTACCGCACAGCCCCCTATGTGCCGTAGACCGAGTGACCAGGGCATCGATGTGAAAGGACACCAACATGGCCACCTGAACAGCTCCCCCGTTTTCTAGAGGGCGCAGCGGATGTCACATTCTCTTGCTTCTCTGTACCAACATGGGAGACTCTCAACAGTGTCTCCTCAGCTCATTGCGATCAATCCTTTGATCCATTTTCACCGTCTCCTCTTCACCTCTTGCTTCGCCTGGAGTCAAGTGCCCAGGGCCCACTACTTTGGAATATGGCCTGTCAATGATCAGGGTACTGGATTCAGCCGTAATGAATGGCACAATACTCGAAGTTTCGGGATTGAGGGACTATTGGTCCACAGCATACGTCTTTGGCTGTGCTGGGGATACAGTAGTCCTGTTGTGCATGACCGCGCCTCTGTCACCGACACCGAGAACATTCTTACTGCTCACCAAGCTATGCTTTCTCCATCTTAAGGGTTTACCTGCCAGGATTCTGCCTCAGCTACAGATACGCACCGCTGCAGGTGCCTATTACGTTAACTTAAGGCGCATCAGTCGCTCACTGAATCTGGCTGCTCTTCTTGGCTCAATGGGTAGCTACCTTTGTCCTAATCACCACACGGGCATGCAGCACGGGACTCAATTTCTGCTTCCTTGGCCACTCATCATGGCGTACAGGCGCGTTATTGGCTGTACGTGGAGATCTGCAGGGGAATAGGATGCCGTGATGGGGTTGCATTGCTCATTTGGCAACGCAACCGGCGCTATTGCTGAAGACTATCTGGCTTATTAATGCCAGTTGCGTCCCCAATCTCGCTCTCCATTATGCCAAAGTCAGAGTCGACGTCTCTTCTCAGTATCGCAGCTCGCCGAATTCATCGTCGTGCTCGATCTGAAACAGGCCCTTCTTACTCTTGTGAGCCGTTCTGAAGCCTGTAGCTCATATTGGTTCTGTCTTATTGGTGATGTGCTGTTTCGATGCATAAACCTATTGGAATGGACGTTGCCAAATCCCAAGAGGTCGAGATATAGTTGACGCAATAGCATTCAGACCTATGATACACACCAGGAGGCATGTCTCCCCTTTTACGGCGCCCTAGCAAGTCAAGATGTCGATATTGCTTTGTCTACTGGAGGAGTTTGGGAATGTCCAATAACCCGAATTGCGTGGTATCGTAGGTAATGAGGCAAAGGCATAGTTGGGTTGTCCGAGCAAATCGCGTCAACGCCACTGCAAGGGCCAGATCGTGCCTAAATACTACAAGTAGTTCCTTATCGGTGTGTATAGAGCTCAAGAGGGGGCGCTCATGTGGATCGGGTTTCTATTTGAGACCATGGCAGTGACATGACCGGAAGATCAAACACCAATAGCTGCCTTACCATTCAGTAACTGAAGGAGAACCAATTGCCTACCTCCATGTCTTAAGAAGCTGCGGTCATCAATACACGTTGCTAATCAGGGACCCGAAATTGGAACCGTATCACCAGTGACATTCTCACATGCGTGGTCAGAGGCTCTGGACTCTCGATGCCGCCACTTGTCTTGGTGTTGAAAGGAGAAGATAGAGGATCATGGGTTGGTGATGAAAGAAGATTTTCGGCTGTTCAAGCTGACCATCGTTGTTGGTGTCAATGGCGTTGGTGGGAGTCATGATGCGAAGTTGGGTCTGAGACTGACGATATAGTCGACTTGTAGTTGGTGAAATGGCGGTTCTGTAATGGATCTGTTTGTGTATTGATATTGAGGTTCGTTGAAGTTGAACGTCGTGACAAGAGCAATGTCAACGAGATCAGATTGAGGTGTATAAGAGAGAGTTGAGAACAGTTCTGTCTGCTCAGATTGGGTGGCCTTGATTGAAAGGACCGCGCGTCTGGCTAACAAGTTACTATAGATAAGTGACTGTTTTTCCAGATGATTTGCAGTAGTCATCTTTGTCTCGTAGTCGTGACACCCACCTGAAGCATGATAGCCTTTGTCGTTGTCTGCAGCTTGGCATCTTTGAAGCTGTCACTATTGGCTACCTGCAGATTTACGTCACCACTTAACTATCATTTCATATTTACTAACCCTGAATCCAAAATTCAAAGAGCTATGGTAATATGAAAGGATGTCTTTTGTTGTCGGTCCTTCAACCTTCTGCAGTTTGGCTTCTCTAACGGTTCCGCCATTATTCAACTGGAGAGTCTTACTTCACCGCTTGACTACCACTTCTATAGACATTAAAGAAATTTACCACTATAAAAAGATCGTCCCCGCCCTGTGATCTTGAACTTTCGAACTTCAACTGTCTTCAACTTCGCAGACGACTACTGAACATCTACAAAATGCCACTCCCTACCTTTTACCCCGATGACAGTGAATTCGAGTACAGACTCCGAAAGCATCGCAAATCCTCCGGCTATGAAGCAAGTGTCTGTCGTAGACGAAAGGGAAAGCAGCTGCGAAAGACTGCCACCCGGAAACCTCACCGCAAATGGAAGCAGTGCGGTAAGTTGATAGATCATGATTGGAAGTCTATGGGTCAAAGACTAATATATCTGCAGTCCCTTCGAGAGTGGGCTACAAGCCTGCTGTTTCTGGTTGATCGGACGGCGGCCGGTGATGGGATGAAGAAAGACGGGAAGGGGATGTCTCGACTTGATGGATGATCTACTTGTGGTTGATGTATTTGTTCTTCGCTGTCTTTATATACACCGTGTGTTGAGCGAATAGAACATTTCCATTCTTGGATATCACATATTGCCGAATAATGAGCTAAATCGAATGTGTAGTATCGATCTATCTCTAATGCACAGTCGTCATTTGCTCTTGAAAAAGAATATCACCGCACATCGAGGCAATAACATGGACAAACACAACGCAAGCGATTTCCTATCTATCCTGCAGTATACTCCATTATTTCCCACCGCCTTCATGTACTCCCACTCTGCAATGATCGTCGTTTCCTAAACTCACTTGTGGTCGAGTCGTCGACGTATATTAATTCTGGCATGATCCGTGGCCTGATGATCTGGACTTGGTGGAAAGGCTCGTGAGACATTGTACTCTTGATCTTACTGGGTTGATCAGTTTGATCTCTGACGCTGCGTTGTGGTGTATGGTTCAGGGGGAAAGTATACGAGTGATCCGCCGGGTGCACCAGCACTTCAATCCGGTGGACAGTACGTCTCTGCAACAGTTCATTCCCAGCCGCCTTTCTCCAAACACTTGCTAGAGTGCCCTTTTGCACTGAAAGGGGCAAGATGGAGCAATGTGCCCTCGATTTCCAGGATTGGACTCGCCGAATCTGCTCTAATGCATTACTCTTTACGATGTGCGTAAGAGGTAAAAGATCTATGTGATTATTTTCAGCAAACACTTCTTTCACATTTGTAGTGATAATCCGAATACCGATTCCTGTAGTGTCGAACTTGTTCATGCGGTTCAATCTCATGTCCGACTTTTTTTTTCCGTCTGGCTCGCTGTGCGCGAGACGTATCGATTGATTTGCGCACGTGGAGATGGAGCAAGAGGATGTTTCGCTGCACTGAATGAACGGTATCGATAAGGCGATGCACTAGTACATATTTGATTTAGTGTGACACCAGCCAAGCGAAAACGTCAACTATTTTACAACACTGCCCTAAGTTCGCCGGCTCGAATACCGGTGTTTGCCTGGAACAGAGACTGTAACTATCTCTGGCGCTACTATAGTACTCAAACAGAGCCTTAGACATCTTTGATCTGTATTTGATTCTTTTTGAAGCCGTTTGGCAGAGTCTGGCGCTGCTGTCTTCAAGGCGCTGCGTGCAAGGTGCGTACCGTTTTGGCAAATGCTGGTGGAGCTGTGTTCAAGATCATGGTCAGCGCAAAAATTCCCAGCTCAGCCAGTTAAGTCCTTGTCACTTCAGGGTAGTCAGACCACAAAACAGAACATTAGATCAAGCATCGCGGATCCCCAATGTCACATGAGATCTGATTGCCCAACTGCACGTCTTGATAATTATTTGCATACAGAGATGACATCAACTCTACGAAAAGTGATACTGCGATGCGGCTTCCACTCACGTATCTGCGCGAGGACTATTGACGATACGATAATTGCTTTTGTGGTGTGGCGTGATACTCACTGACTTTGTGTTGCGTACACGGCCCGGAGAGGTGGCTTGTGTGACGCTCAATTGAATCCAAGACAAAGAGATATCAGAATTCATTCACAATATGCAGCTTCACAGAGAAATGAAAGAAGCTGACAAGCAGAAATGTTGACTGCGGTTTTAATTCTGGTCACTCTGAGTCGACGTGTCGAATCGCGCTATGGCTTCCAAAACTGCATCATTTGGGCCAGAGATGCGGCTCAGCTGCATCAAAACTACTCGGATAAATGAGCCATCTTCATTGAGACACAGAGAACTTTGCAGTGGCTGTATTCGCCGCCCACGCATCGTCGCCGACTTCTGCAACACCTCAGAACAAAGAATGTCGCGATGAGAAGCCATTCACGATGCCATACCGCTTATCCCATGATGCCACCCTTTCTTATCTTTAGGCCATATAAACTCACTTCTTGGGGCAATCTCACTTTGCTTCCCACAACATTCAACGGCAGTACTGCCAAACATGGACAACAACGTTTGTAAGTCTCTTCATTCCAAAGCCTTGCATTTCTGATCTCGCTATGGCAGATGACAATCTTGGGCCGGCCAGCAACCAGACGACATCGAGCATGTTATCAATTATCTGAACAGCGGCTACGGAGTTATGTTCCCTACTAACGAATTTACAAAGAGCCCTGAGGATAACTCTGCTGGTGAACATTTCTTAACATATATCGTCGAGACAATCTAATATATCTAGGAATTTATAACCTTGCGCTTCCGTCTGCTGAGATAGACGGCTTCGCTCTTCTACCTGCTATTGACGAGCAGGATGTAGACGCCGGGAATGTCTACCTGAACAACCTATATCCCTAAACTCACACGTCTCTTGCGCACGATTGCCGGACTTACATCGTTAAGCCCCTCCTTCTTGCACTGAGACCTCTACGAAATCTTCCCCACACCTTGATTATCCCTATTCACCACCTGCTTCTTACTCTCGACTGCATCTTTACCAGAATGAATGGGCCGTTGTTCGTCAGCTCATCCCCGTAATTCTTGTTGAAGTCGCCGAGAGGTATGAGCCCGGAGCAGGCTTCTATGTCAACGTGGTCATCGGTTTCATGCCTCATATCTCGGAACGGTTTCGTCCAAAACTTGCCCTGCTTTCTCAGCTGGGCGATCAGTGTCAGGTCTTCCTTATAATTTTGGCGTTTCTTGTTTTGTTCGCCATCGAGCAGCGTCTCGAATAGACAAGAATCAGGATCAGCGTCTCAGGATGCATTCGAACGAGGTGACATGAAGAGTGGCCCGAGCATGGAAAGTAGTTGTTTTACGTCGATACAGATAGCTGTGAGGGGGAATAGGAGAATGGCAATACACGGGCTTGGGCATGATTGGTTAATTACATTAGAAGGTAGGAGGCGTTATTATCGTTCTTACAAATTGAAGACAAATCAGATTTGCTGTTAAGTATATAAATCTCTTTGCAACGATTTCCTGAGTTCCTACATACCTTTGAGCGGATCCTCGGAGATTCTGCGTCATCGCTGGTACCTCCTCAGATTCTCATAGGCCAAAGGGGGGTACCCAAAAGCTAGAAAGCACCTACTGGCCCAAGATGTAAATCAAGCATGGGCCCTGTGGCACAGATATATAGTACAACTAATGTTGAGGTGAGGGCGTTTTACAATCGGATCCCCAGAGGTACAATAGCAACAGCATCAGCCAGAAGGGCACCAGGCGTATGTCAGGAGTTGGCCGCTTCATTCATCAGGGGCACTCTGTCATGCAATCAGATAACCTCCCGACGATTGCGTATGATACTGAGAACTGACCTTGTGGCAGGCAATTGTATGTTGAGATATGCTAAAAACTTGTACGGTGCATAAGTACATCATCTCTTGTCCTTGGTGAAATGGACACCCTGCAGTTGGTCAAGCCTGTTGACGGGAACCCGAAAAACTGATGTTGTAGCAGTTACTACCTGATAGATATAAAGATTATATAGAAAGCCTTTTTTTTAAAAAAAAAGTTTTTTTTTTAAATAATAATAAAGTTTTACATAATATTATAACTTATAATTATTTAATATCCATATATATAACTACTTAAAGGTATTTTTATTTTATTAATTTTAAAGTTTATTTACTTTAATTTAAGTTTATAAATCCTTATATTTATAAATAACTATATATAGTTGTATAAAGTATATATTTATTCTATATAAGTTATTATCTCTTAAATAATAAATTAATTCTAATTTATTAACTATAAAAAAATCAATATTTATCTTTTATTTATATAGTTAGCTTTATTTATTTATTTAACGAAAATAGAGGTTTTAATAGTAACTAGAACTGCCTTACCTTAAACTGCCTTACTTAAGACCGTCTTACTTTAGACCGCCTCACTCTAGACCGCCTCACTTTAGACCGCCTCACTTTAGACCGCCTTACTTTAAACCACCTCATTAATACTCTTATTACTTTAATCTCTAATAAGTCAGTACCTTTAAGGTAACCTATCGAGAGACTTATAACTATATAGTCTTTATATACATTATAATTCAACCCCTAAATATTACTGTAAAGGGAAGAAAAGAGAATGGATGCCTCCGCTACACTTCAGACCTGTCAATCGCCGCTGTATAGACCACTGGAATATCCCAACCGCACTATTAGACTGCTTATTCTTCAACCATCGGCAAGCCCTCTCACAATACTAGAGGGAAGTCTCCATCCTGTATCACTCGATCTCCGTCCAGCGTACCTGGCTTTGTCATACGTGTGGGGTGATGCAAAAAACACCCAGTCCATGGCAGTAGATGGCCATGATGTTGCTGTGACTGTCAATCTCGCGTACGCGCTGCGTTGTGCCAGATTACCAGATAAGCCAGTTGTTATCTGGGCAGATGCTCTGTGCATCGACCAGACAAACGACGAAGAGAAATCAGTTCAGATCCAGCTCATGGGCGCGATATATCAGAATGCATACAAGGTTCTTGCGTGGTTAGGCGTAAGCGACCACGACAGCGACCACGCGATAGACATTCTCAATAAAATGGCGACTGCGATCAAGCAAGAACAGGACCCGCAGGATGAAGATGGAAGCTCCATTGCCGATGGTGAGACCAGCAGTGATGAAGAGGAGCCGGGATGTACCAGAATGGGAACGTTGCAGGTCAAGGTCATTCAGACTGAAGAAGAAGTGACTGCAAGCATGGATGGTATCTCCAAGGACCTGAACGGCCCTAATTGGCTCCAGCATTTACCGGAACTGTGGAAAAAAGACACGCAAGAGCTCTCTTCTTTTCAAAATCGTGCGTGGGATGCCATTGCGCAGATCTTTAAAAGGCCCTACTGGAGTCGTGTCTGGATATACCAAGAGCTGGTACTCGCCTCCAATCTCCACTTGCATTGCGGAGAAAAGTCTATTAGCTGGCAAGACCTTTCCTTAGCTGCTTTCAGGACCGACCTCATGCTCAAGAGGGCTGACCACCCGCCGCTCTGCTTTTCTCGTTCTCTCTGGTCAAAGCTCACTTCTCGACCTATGCATCAAGTTGTGCTCGTACGACATGACAAGCAGCAGATGGCAAAGGGCGCCATCCCTTCGTTATACAACCGTATAGAACTTCAGCGGCTACTCGAGGCATCAAATCCCAGAGATCTTATCTATGGCCTGCTTGGGGTTTCCCAAGCAAGTGTTGTGGTAGATTATTCGAAGCCTCTTCACCAAATCTATCACGATTATGCCAGTGGCTGGATACGATGGGCTTGTGCCCAGAACTCCTCCACTACCCCTCTGAGCTCTATGATGGTGCCTGTGGTATGGGCAGGTATCGGGTACGAGACTCGCACACAAATGCCCTTTTCGGCCCCATCCTGGGTCCCCAACATACAAAAATCTCGACAATTATCAAACGCCTTGACCAGATCCGGATGTTTATTTCAAGCTTGTGGTAGAACGAGACTGGAAAACGCAGTTACATCCATTGATGGGAATTTTCTACATTTGCGAGGACACTTATGTGACAAGATCACACAGACCTGGCCTTTACCCTTTGCCGCGGACACCTTCCGCGGAGATTTACCTCGCATAGCAGATGCCATGTCAGCGAGACATCAAGCCAAGGAACATCCGATGAGAATCCCACTCTTAGACCTGCTGTTTCGCACGGTACTCATAGGGCGTTGGCCTGGTACTGATTATCCCTTGTCGGTTTTGAGCATATCGACGAACGATGAATTCATGTGGAAACGGCGTTTCATTCACGACCTCACCAAGCACAAATTTGCAGAGCTACACAAGTCCAGCAATGACGAAACTGAACAGTCTCTGAGGGACCGTATTCTTAGACAGTGGCAAGTTGAAGGGCCACCACGGTCCTGGGGAGAGGTCATTGTGAACATCACAAGTGCGGAGCAATTTTGGAACACATATACAGCGGGCGAGAATGATGGATGGGAAGAGTTCCTTATTGTGTCTAGGCGCAACATAAAAGACACGTGTCTTTTCAAAACAACTACAGGATACTTTGGCTTAGGACCTTTGATGATAGAAAGCAGCGATTTGATCTGTATCTTTCCAGGGGTTCGCCTCCCCACGATATTGCGTCCTAAAGGCAACCATTTCCAGCTTGTGGGAACCTGCTATGTCTATGGACTGATGGACGGCGAAGCTGTGGGCAATGATGTTCAGGCCTGGGAGGCTTCTTTATCCGATTTTGTTCTCATGTAGAGAAGACGGCAGGAGAATTCTGACTTCGGGGTGAGAGCCCTTGTTCGGAGACCAAGAATGCCTTTTTCTCCGACTTAAGGCTGAATGCGAAGCGCCAAGCAATACAAGATGTCATTGTAGAAAATTATCGCCCTGCACATTTAAAAGCAATAAGCAGAACTCTGTCCACAGACATTGACAGGCTAGGGGACAGTGCAGCCAAGTCAGATCAGCGTCTGAAGCAATATCTCGACTTTGGTACAAACCAGAAGGTTAAGGAAGCCCATGAAAAGACTCAGCAAAGCAACTGTGAAATACATCTGCCCGGATACAAAGGCCAAATTCCTGCAGCGAGAGAGCTATGATAAAAACTCCTGATCCTGGTCGTCCTCATCCTCACTATTCTCAACTCCCCACTCCTTCTTGAAAACTACCAGGAACTCTTCTGGCGAAGGGGGATCGAAAACCCTTTGCTTCTATAGTCATATACATACTCATCCTGAACATTATAATCATCAATGAGTCAGAAAATTTATCTCTTTCGCTTCCTTGATACCTTTCGGGAACTCACACTCAACCAACCTACAACACCGCGATGGAGCCAAACGATCTCATTCCCGGATACCAGCAAGATGACACTCTCAAGTTGGACGTAATCGAAAGCCATCACGCCGGTCTCTCAACTACTGAATCTATCATCATCCAAGTCGCGAAAGTCATGACCGCCACCATGTCCCCTTCATGTTCGTCACACTCAAAACGCCCAACGCGCCAAACAGAGTAATCCTCAAACTCTACGACCGACGGCTTGGCTCTTCGCTTCGCAGGAGCAAGAAAGGCAAACGTGTTCCCAGCAGTTCTCTTCGGTTGCGGAGCCAATGCTCCGAGTGATCAGCAAAGGCGGAAGACCAGAGACCCAAGGCGGGACTAGGAGTACAGAACGTGACGAGGCTGTGAGGGACTTGATCGTTGAGCAGAACTGAGCGAGGATGTTGAGTCTGCTGCCAATGTTTGGAGCGAAGCTGGATTATCCGGGGAATCGCAAGGGCGGTGTCGGATTTCCGAGTGAGGTCTCTTAAGGTATTCCTGCTACTACTCACATCTCATAAAATTGTGTGTTCTCTATCGATTGTGTAAGAACCAGTGATAAGCCTCTCTGCATCCTCTCGAAGAGAAATTCAGTGTGTACTATGCATATTTGACAGAACTCGGCTGCCTTTTTGCATATCTCGGTCTGAAACTACAGATCTGCAGAGTACTCTTTGGCCTTTGGTGAGAATGCCAAACGTGCTGTATCCGAGGCGTTGAATATCGTTGAGCTGAATCCCGGTGATAACGGAAAGCGGATCTCATTGTCTACTGTGATCTCATTACCGGGAATCCTTTACAACATCCGATCGATCATCCTTCCCGCAATCCAACATCTCGGCACTAACTTCGTTGGAAATATCTTCCGAGCTCCAATTTAACAGGCCATCTTCATCGAAACCCTGAAAACGTGGGTAAAATTTCCGGATGTCGCAGGTCAGCCAATCAGGGCTCCCACTCGCTCAGAAGGGGGGCTTGAATTGATTCGAGATTTCGAGTTCTTACCTGCAACTTTGTATCTGCCCAGATTCCTGGTGACAATGATCGCGATCGCCATGTTCCCAGACGCAAGGTTTCTTGACCACCTCGAACTACCTTGTAGGTGACAAAGCGCGATGGTATGATGAGAGTCTTCCAGCAGAGAAGTGGTTCTTGTAGTATTGGCTTGTAAGGGGCGACATGGTGGCTAAAACGCTCACTATCACCAGGTATGGCGGAATTGTGCCCTCAGAACCATCGAACAGGAACAACCAATATTGCCACTGGTTCTGTGTTCAAAGCATTCTGTAACCTCTCGTTCTTCGTGTTGTTGACGGAGTATCCCAATATATGTGCCTTACCGGTGTATCTAGTGTCGTCGAAATCGTTATCTAACACCCTAGTGATCTCGTCTCCCCGTTTCGTCTCTCCAACAATATCGACATCGACGTACATCCGAGTCACCTCTGGCTCTTGAACAACCTCTATTCTGCTGGCGATCATTTTCTGCCCTACTATCGACGTAGATAGTAAGCACGCACTGTCGTGGTCTAGTTCCCCAGCAATTATCCTTATTTCTCGTTGACAGAGGACGGAGCCGTGCCAACTGGATATCTACAAATTTTGTCATCCTATCATGACCCCCGCAACGACGTCAGATAGTCCATGTGGCGTCTCGATGAACTTACTTTCCCTCTAAGGCCATCTTCCACGTGTAATCGGAAGGTCTTATCAGAGTTCCGAGCATTTCGAGCCAGAAACGGAACAAGAGAAAAACATTTCACCGTCGTTGGTATGGAAGCCATCTATACGCTTCCATCCACCCCCAGCGCTATATATCTTGCAAAAACCAGGGACATGACAAAATTTACATTGCTGTTGTGCAAAGAGTTGGAGGACAATCGACCTTACCAAGCCCTCTATATTTACAGATAGCTCGCCTTTTCGAGTAAGGGGAGTTTCAATACATCAATATACAATGAGAGGATCGCACGGACTTAACTTGCTCGTAATAGATGGACTTGGGCGAAAGTACCTGTCCTCAGGAGTTCTTACGTTCCACCTCAGCCTCGTCGCTCATCTGCTATTCCCGTATCGATGGACCTAGTCAAAGTCAATGCAGAGACCTCGGAGATGAGGCCCCTCTCTTCCAATAACTTAAAAACAAATTTCTCTTGTGAGGTTCTGAGGTGCTACACCGGATATCCGATTCGTTTTCCAGCTCACTGATACGGTAATGATGTCTAAGCCCGGCTAGCCAGACAGGCGACAGCTGTTTCTAAGCCCATCAGCGCTAGTTTCTCTTCCTGGCGTTCTGGAGGCAGCCATAGAAGCCGCCCTGAATTGCTCATGTTCCACGACCAATCAACAAAAAGCTCTAAGCTCGAGAAAACGTTGGATGCCCAAGATAAAGTAAGCCTACCGACGTCACTTGTAGGATGATAACCGGCCGGCCAGAAAAGCACCGAGTAGACCGAGCAGCTATCGTCATCTAATGCGATCTCACACCGACCCGTCACTACATCCCACAACTTGCCTTTATTCTGGGAAGCTGACCACCTGCTTCCCATCAGGTGAGAAAGTCACATAGTCGACCCAGTCGACATAGCCCTCCAGCGCGTCTTCTTGCAGGGATTGATGCCAAATCACCAACGTCCAATTAAGCATCATCTTTACCAGCCGGATCTACTTGGATAGAACGTAATTGGTCTTTTATCTTCTCCTTTGACGCTAAAATTCGAGAGAAACACTCACAGCCTTCGCTGCGATGTGGCCATTCAATTCGCCTAAATTCTAAATAACAAGGGGGGCTCGCAGTATCGCGTTGTGACCCACAAAGCGGATCCATCTGAGTATAAGCTAGAGAAGTAATTGGTTACTTATCTTCTCCTTCGACGCTAAAATTCTGGAGGATCGCTCACAGGCCAATGCACTCAATAACTCAATTAAAGCCGGCTTTTTGATTGGCTTGACTTGTGGGGGGGTCAGGCTCAAGTTGGCTACAATGCAGCCAATTAGAATTAGATTAAATAAGTCGACTTGCAGATCACAGATCTAGCCTAATTAGGTAAGGTAAGCACTATAGAGGCCTGTTGTTTATGCTAATTAATTAGCTGAAATAAAATAAAAAGACCTACCTTAAGTCTATAGAATTTCCTTAAAAATAAAGGTAAAAGGTATTTATATATTACTAATTTTACTATATTAACTTATCGACTTATAAGTCAGGACCTATATAGACTTAACTTATGGCCTTTTTTCCTGACTTGTAAGTCAGGGGGTTAGACTTGAATTGAACAAGCTAACTTGAGTTATTGGGAGCGTTGTCACAGGCGAGACCTCACGCCGACAGTCTTTGCCTGACAAGGATCATCCAGGGCAAAGGATCCACATGGACTGAAGTGATTGGTCTTTTATCTCCTGCTTCAACGCTAAAACTTTCAAGAACCAGCGATATCCGAGATTCATGCACACCAATTCCTCTTAGCCTCTCAATCTGGGTACATACCATTACAGGCATTTAGGCGATCCTCTCAGCCACGGATCATCAGTGATTCTTCACGTAAAGGTCTCTTTAAAATTAGAATTTACTGTAAAGTTCAATACACTAGATCCAATTCGAGGAATGTAGTATTCGGGCTAGCGAAAAATGAGATCTAAAGAAAGGCGACTAGATTTCTCCGTTGAGAAAAGATGTTATTCCTCCTTTTCCTGAAATCCCACTTTCGCAAGCTCAAGTTTTCGGATTTGCTGGGAATGTATTTTCTAAACTCTCATGTTAGTAAACAGTGTAAGGGGGCTGGGACAACATACCACTTCAACTGTACCGCGAACAATGTAGTGAACTATAGTAACCTCCTTGTTTTGCCCAAGGCGAGCGACTCGTCCGATGGCCTGACTTTCTACACTTGGGTTCCACTGCGGTTCCATGATGAAGACATAACTCGCTGCGGTCAGGTTAAGTCTGACGGGAGTTAACTAAATGTCGCTCTGGTGATTTGTTTAGGCTCTGCATACCCAAAAGCACCTACGCCGGTGCTCATAAGTAGGACAGGATATTCTTTGTATTTCACGAACCGATCCATGTTGGCTTGTCGCTGTGATAGTACTTGTCCTCCATCGATTCTTTGAAACGGTATTTTCTTTTGACGCAGATGGACTGATACTAGGTCGAGAGTTCTCGTCCAGCACGAGAATACAATACTGAAACTATTAGTGTGATTTTCAGTATTGCGTCGCTAGGTTTACCTTTTGATTCCATGGGGGCTCTTTTCTAGGTCTTGTATGAGGGCATTCATTTTCGACGAATATCCTTCCGGATTAAAATGACCACCATCAAGTTCTCCAGGAATTGATTGGCTACTGGAGGAATACGATTCTTTTATCATGCCTTTGCACAGTGGACATGGTCTTGTGAGGAACCTGTCCTCCAGAAAGGCTCCGGCCTCATTGTT